ACATTAGTGATTGTCTTTTTTATGAAGATTATTTTGTGAGTTTATTATATACAAATTTTTTGGCATCAATTTTTTTTTCTTACTACAACTTTTGATTCAACTGTACAGTACTTAATTTTGTTCAACTAATTGAAGTACTTAAACTTGATTAATCTGTTACATTTATGATCTGTTTTTAGGAAAAACATGTTCTGGAAATTTTGTGTTAAAAAAAAAATTGATTATATCACATTTCAATTTTACAATAACAAATTCTTGAAGTTAAATCTGAATCTTCAACTTTTCACATTGAACATTCAGAACTAGGTGCATATTTTCTTTCATAATTTTTTTTTATTTTCTAAGCATTTAATAATCTCTTGTAAGATTTTTTAGGGGATAAATATTAATAATAATGAAGTACTTAATTATATGATTAATTCATTAATTTATCTTTTAGTTAATGACATGATTAAGCAACTCATTGTTTGAACCTGTATGAGATTTAAATTTTTATGGATTATTTTATTAATAGCAGAAAATACTGAAAAATTAGGGGAGAAAAAAATTACAAAATTAAAAAAGAGAGAGAGAGAATATAAATTGAATGATTAATCAGTTTTGAACCCATGAATCATTTCATACAGTATTGCTTAGATGAAACTTTCTTACAGAAAATGAAGTTGAAAATTTTAATTACTTTTTTCTAGAATTTCATTTTAATTTTGAATAATTTATAAACTTGAAGTTTGAAATTAATGCTTAAATAAATAAAAACTTTATCTTTTATTATTTATGCTTATAATATTTCAAACTTTACATTAATACATAATTTTATTTAAAAAATAGAATTGAAATGCCAAATTTATATTTATTGTTATTTGATGTATTAAATCATAATTAGCAATGAAAAAAACATTGAAGCAAAAATATTTTTATATTAATAAAAGAAAACTTTTAACAAATATTATTAAAATATGAACATTTGTATAATTTTTACAGTGTAGAATTCAAATTTTCAATTTTCTGCAACTTTATAAACCAAATACAGTGAAACCTCCATTAACAGACACTCCTGATTAGTGGATATCTCTACTTAAAGGACATTTTTACAATCTCTAGACCAGAGGTCGCCAAACTTTTTTAACCGTCGACCCCCAATCACTTTCCAAAGCCTCACATTGACCCCCAACATAAAGTTTTATTACAAGTGTATATGTATGAGCGAAAAAAAAAACGTTGTGGGTTGTGGTCTCTGTCTAAGCAAAAAAAAAAGTTGTGACCCCTTAGCCGCATCGACACCCCAATGATGTTGCATCGACCCCTGGGGGTCCATATCAACCACTTTGGCGACCCCCTGCTCTAGACCCTTCACATAGGACAGCTATTATATTTACCTCTAAATAGTGGATAGACTTTTGGTCTTGATGGTGTCTGCTATTCGGAGGTTATACTGTAATTCAAAATTGTAAAGCATTGAAATTTCTAGTTTGTCTAAATAATAATATAATGTCAAAATTTGAAAATTTACATTAGAATTTTCAAATTTTAACTTTAAAAATTATTTAATTTATTAGACAAATTTTATATATTAAATTTTTCTCTGGGAAAATCACAGAAAATGGATGATGCTTTTATCTTATTTAAACTCAAGCAATGGAAACTTGTTTTTCCTTTAAAGAATTTGTCACTGCTTATAGTATTTGTACCTGATATAAAATATTACATTAGCAAGTTATGTTTTGTTGTTTTATAGTTTTCTGTCTTATTTTTAATTTTAAATGCTCTACATTTTCTAACAAAGTTAATTTTGTTTCAAAGTGTAATTGATAGATAACTTTTTGTGTAAATTCTTATATAATCTTTAAAAAAGACAGTTGGGAGAAGTATATAAGGTATGTTTAAAAGTTCCTCAATTTTTGTCATTTGTTTTTTATTATCTAGAGTACAAATTTTTAAAACATTTCTCAATAATTTTTCAGCAATATAAATTTTATACATAATTAGTATTAGTATTTTAAACAAATTAACCAGATATAATAAAATATATAAACAAATAATTTTAATGTAAAATATGAGAAAAATCTTTTTCTTCACTAATACAGGGCATCCAGAAAGTTACTGTGCCATGAGAAATTTGTAATGACATTAAAATTATACATAGGGTGGTTAGTTATACATATACCAGTCAATTGGTATTGAATGGACGACTTAGGTTTTGTATGCATGACCCTATGTATAACTTTAACGTCATTACAAATTTCCCACTGCTCAGTAACTTTTTAGACACTCTGTACATAGTTTGACTAATTTAATTATATTGAAAAACTTTAATATTTGATATTTAATGCTATAATATTTAGAGAATGTTAATGTAAGTATTACTCTCATCATTACTAATAATCATAAAGTAATAAATGAACAATAACTACAAACTCTATGGAAGTGTAATTTAAATAAAATATGTATATAATAATTTATATTAAAATATATAAAAATATAATTTATTATTAAAATTTGGACACGATGAACCTAAAGATATATTTAATGCTTGTGCAGTAAGAATGTTTATTTAGAAAATAAATCAATCAATATTCGAACTGATTAGCGAAGGAATTTTTTTTATTTAAGATTTATATGAAAAAATTAATTTTATGAGCATGAAAAATCATTTTAATCTTTTTCTCAAGTTGTAACATTTTGGGGAACTTATTAAATATACCTTATATCAATATTCATATATACTCTCTAGCTATTTCAGTCAACATTACTTGAGAAATCAAGTGATGAAAAAAAACCTAGTCCAGGCATTTTAAGGTGAGTTTACTTTTAAAATTTCTTATGCAAAAATTTAAATTCTGTGTAAGTTGTTCCAGATTAAATTTTTGTCTAATTTAAGTGAATTGCATAAACACTTTTTTAAAGATTATATAAATGCTTTCGAGTAATACGATATATAGATTGAAGAATATAAACTATAACAATAATAAATCATAATTTGTCTTAAAAAGCTTATATGTTGTAAAATTTACAAATTTTTTTCTTGGGTATGTTTTTGTGTGTATAAAAAAAAATGCATTTTAACACAATGCTTTTGACATTGTATCTGAAATGCATGCAAAAGTATGTGTATTTGTAAATATGACTTATCTTTTCTTATCAATTATTTTACATGAAGAAGGGAAAATGCCAGAAGTCAGAAGAAATCAGTGGAATAAAACTTCAAATTTTTATCATTTTACTTATCAAAAACAAATTTTTTTTTTTCAATAAATATAAACAAATTATTTTGCATTGTTTCATTGAAATTTTATTTTAAGTATTTAAAAGTGAAAAGAAAAATTTGGGAAACATGATATAGTAATTTTTTTTTCTTTCGGTAATATTTATAAGTTTAAAAATTAATATTTACACAATGCTTTGATATTAAAGTATCATTATTATATGTATGTGTTTGTCATTGAAATAAATTTTATTTTTATTATTACACAATGTAAGTAACTTATTTAGAAGTGTAAAATAAATGTTTACAGAAATAACAAAAAGTAATACGATGGCAGCAGAATTGAAACTGTATTAAACTTTTTAATTTTAAGAAGGAAAAAAAATTATTAATTAAATAAATTTAATTAAACCTTTATAATTGTTGTTTGGCAAAAGATTGTCTTTATTTTATAATTTTTGTAACAATATAGAATTATTCAGTATCTTTCTCAGTTAATTAAAATTATATATAATTTTTAACTTAAATGTAAGACTGTTTGTGTTCTTTTGCCAAATAATAAAATTTTTTAACTACAGTAATAGTTTATAATTTTATTGTCATAATTAATTAATGAGGGGTTATGAAAAGTTTTAATGACTTATAAATAGACCCAGAGTTACTCAGTGTTTGGAAAACAAAAATATAAAAATGATATACAGTTTACATTTAACAAATTAAATTCTGTTTTGATTCAAAATTATAAAGGAGAGTTATTTGAAAATTATGAAAAACAAAGGTTTTCTGGTGAGTGGTTTTAAAAAATATTAATCAACAAACTCTCTCTGAAGTAAAGTTATCTTCAGAGTTTATAAATATAAAGATAGCTTTGCTTTACGTGGGATTTAGTTATTTTTAAACAACAAAATTTGATATTTGTAATTCATAATTTCAATGTACTCCTTCCTTTCAAAGTAGACTGTTCTTACTGAAACTTTAAATACTCAAAATTTGAATTAAAAAATGAATTGGTCAAAAATCAATGAATCGGTAATGTAAACTGTAATTAGAAATTTGTAAAAACAAATTTCTAATGTAATGAAATTTGGTTCTCTTTATTTTTTTCAGTATTTCAGAAAATTATTATTGCAAGGCTGTGCAGTGCAGATGTTTGATGAAATAATTATACATCAATAAAATTGATTTGAATAAATGATGTAATAAGAAAATAAAAAAATCTTTCTCACTGTATTTGTCTATACAATCACACTCCATTATATACAATCATTTTATAAGCACTTAAATCACTTATTAATAAATAAATTAATTTTACAAATGTTTATGTATTAAAATCAGTTCAAAATTAACTGTATAATAAACATCTTTCGAAATTTTAAGTATCAAAAACTATTGGTCTCGTAATGAATAAAAATCATTTAATTAAAAAAAATTTGTAAAGAAATTTATGAATATTTAATATAAAAAATAAGATTATATTAACACTTAGAAAGCGTAATTTAAAGACTGGTGAAATTCAGTCTGTTCTTATTTAAAACAAAAAAAAAATAAGAGAGATATATGAAATTATTGTTGAATATATACATGAATATACAACCTTTTAAGGATGTATATAACTGTTCATATTTTATGAACAAAAAATATTAAGTATTTAATATATAAAATACATTTTTCTAAGAAATGATGTATGCATTATGTTGTGTGAAACATCTGCATTCATAGCATTCATTTTATATATGAATTTAATGCTGAATCGAAAAAGCATAAAATAAAATAAAGCATAAATAAAATTGTTTTGCAGGACTGTAGAGGATCTTATCCAATTGTAAAGTGCACCTACTGTCGTACAGAATTTCAACAAGAAAAGTATGTATAATTTTCTATTAAAAGAAATTCTTATTTTTAATATTTTAATAATGTTTTATTATTTAACTTTATTGAATTATGTTGTCTGTATTATATCTGTGTGTATTGTGTTTAGTTATGACAAGATATCTACCAGTAGTTATTGTTAAGTTCTGTATTAAGTTATTGATTCCTCTGAATTTGTTAATAGTTTTCCCCTTTTATTTCTTCTTTCATTTTATTTCAAAATGCCACATAAATGTGAAATTTGAAAAGTTACTTTCAAATATGAATTTGAGATCAAAACAACACAATGGGTGGCCATCATAAGTGAAAACTTTTCAGTACAAAATGTTTTTTACCCTGTGTTTTGTTTCAAATTATTCTTTGTCCAAACTAAGTTCTTTAATTACTCTGTAATGTTTGATAAGATAATAAAAATAATTATGAAAATAAACTTTTATTGTTCTCAATAATTAGAATACCAAATTTCTGCATTTAACAGTTATGACCCGATAAGTTTTTTTTTATTTGATTTGTTGATAAAGTTGAAAAGTGGACAAGAGAAATTCAAAAATAAGCAGTTCAATTTTATATACATAAATATTAAATATCTTGCATACATAATAAAGCCAATGCATAAATTTTTTATCATACATCAAAATTTGTAATTTCTTTTGTTCTATATCAGTATTGGATGTAAACCTATTTCATTAGTTCTAGAGTTAGGAATAAACTCAAAGGAAGTGTAAACTTCAAGAAATTGAAAATTTTTTTTAAAGAAATCAAATGGAATTTGTACATATATAATTTAGAATTCAAAAGGTGTGTTTGGATCCAGAAGATTTTGTAAAAGTAGGGAAGGTTTTAAGAATTGCCTATGGTTTCAATATGAATTGCTATTTTTGATTCAAATTTTGGTTTTGTGTAAATTAGTAATATAAATTTTGTACTATGAAATGTTCATTAAATCTGAGAATTCAAACTGTTGTACAGACTCAAAATTTGTATTTTATAACAGAACTTACTCTAGATCAGTGGTTTCCAAAATGGGCAGTGATAAATCTAAGGGAGCAAAAAGAAGTAAAGTGGGTGGCAGGGGGTGCTGGAGGCAGGATATTGAATGATGACCATAGACAAAGGTTGAGGTCACTGACAACCTTTCCTTTCCTCTGTTAAATGGTTAGGAAGAAACATTTCATTTAATGATTTCCAGGTGTTGAGAACAATGTATGGTAAGGACAGAAAGTGCGAGGTTTATAGAAAAGTTTTCCTAAAAATATTTCTAAGCCTTTCTTGCGTAAGGGAAAAAAGGGTTAGAGGGCATTAGGTATAACTTTATGAAACAAAGAAGGTTGCTGGATCGAAAAAGTTTGGGAATTACTGCTCTAGATCAGCAATTTCCAACCTGGGGTATGCAATAGGTTGTTTAGGTGTACAGAAAAAGTTAGTTATTATGGCAGAAAAAATAATATGTTATGTATCACAAATTAATAGTATTAAAAAATTATTAGGTAAAAAATGTTCCTTGCAACTATCACAAACTTTATTATACATTTCAAAATGTAAAAATAGAAATAAAAACTTATGCTGCCGATTGTAAAATGCAACAAATCAATAAATGTTGTGCAGTCGGTCAATGGTAGTGGGATACTTTGAGGATATTTGTCTGATACCATTGTGTGTTATTAGTGATTATTCTACGGACTTTTGATGATGGGGTGTTTTCCGTTGTTATAATTTTTATCTCTCAACAATATCCTCACGTGTTGTTTGAAAAAAGTATTCTTTGTTTATAAAAAGTATTTTTTATTGTTAGCAAGGAAAAGGACATAGCTAGTTTCTCCAGATTTTCTCTACAAGCTGTAATTTTTTCATTATTTATTCAGTATTTTTATTAATTTTTTATTGACAAGACTATGTCTTGTTTATAAAATCGTACTGCCTGCTGTGTTACCAGCTTAGAGGTATGAAGGAGTACATGTCAAAAGTTGCGATTTGGCACAAAGTATTTGCTGCCCAAATCATGCGGCATGAAAAAAACCAGACTTGTAGGTACTCGGGACCAAGAACCGAGTCAAAATAAAATTCAAAATGGCGACACACACTACAAACAGGCAGTGTGAGATTTGTGCATATGTTGCTCATTGGGAAGTTGGAAATGCCACAGGGGTACACTAATGAAAAATGCTTGGAAACAGCTGCTCTAGATGATTACAATTTATTATTGCAACTGTAGGGCTGCCTAACATTTTTTGATATTAAGATATATTTTAGTATATAAAACCATACTTTTTTAATTTTATATTGCATATATCACAAGTTATTTATTTGAAAATATTTGAAAAAGTATTGTTAGTTTTATGTAAATGATACTGCTGGAAATATTGTTGGAAGATAATGTGTTGTAGGAAAATGTTATAATTGACAAAACAGCCAGATCTTGCAAAAGAGCTTCTACAGTGAAAAATATTTTTGAAAGGTCTTGAAATTGTTTTTAAAATGATTCAAAAGCACAGTACATATTAAATGCTTTTGTTTAACTTGCTCTATATTGTCCTTAAATCTTGCAATATAAATTTCATCCACTTGTAATTAAGGTTGAAACTTTGAGGATATTTGTCTGATGACAGTGCATTTTATGATGCTTTATGGGGTGGCATCACCTCAACCATCCTCCCAACTCTGAAACTTGATAAAGTTAACTAAATGTAGAATTTAATCATGTTTGCATGTAAATGCATTATAGTGATGCATATGATGGAGGTGAGCAATTCCCATCATTCTCCACCCCAATCTTAAAAAAACATGGCCAATATTTTTTATCATATTTTAAATCTGTAAAACACTTCAAAATGTGTTCAAAAATTTCCTAAATTAGAAATTATATAATAAAATATTAAATTGCACTGTTGTGCTCTGTATGCATTTCTGTATATTTGTGAACTTTGTATTGTCTAATATGATGCAGAAATATTTTTTCAGTTAATGAATTTGAGTAGTAGTATTGCTTTATGTACAAACAGCAGTGTATGTTTGTTCCTGCTTTTATATCTTAAATTAGAATAATCTCTAGTAGTGAATTTACATTTCCTCACTACTTTTTGTATCTTTTTGCATAAAATTTGGAATATTACTCTTAATTTTCTAAATATGCATTCAATAGAGGATATAATTTGTTTATTTACTTGAATTTTATTAGTTGTTTATACAGAAAAAATTTTATTTAAATTTATATTTTATATAAAATGTATTTTAATAATAAGTAGAAAAGTGAGTTATGAATGAAGTTTTAATTCTCTTTAATGTTCCATGATTTCTTTTTATCAAGCATTCATTTACACACATACATATTCATTATTATCGAAATTAACAAATATTTTATAACAGTAATATTTAATTATTATTAATACAGTGGCTCTATATAGTTAAAAATTTGTTCTTATCTGGTAAAGTGGATTTTAAAAAATAATATAAAAATATATTATAGAAATTTTATTTAAATACTTTTAACTGTATTAAAAATAGTTTGTCCATGGTAAAATTTCTTACTTAAACATTTTTTATATATATATAGCAAAGGAAATACAACAACAATTTGTAAAAAATGTGAACAGAATGTGAAATTATATGGAAAGGTTTGTATTTAAATTAGAATTTTTGATTTCTTAAAATTAATTAATTAAATCTTAAAATAAATAAATTTGTTTACACTATTTTCAGCCTACTGCTTGTGAATATTGCAATATTATAGCAGCATTTATTGGTTCAAAATGTCAAAGATGTACAAATTCTGAGAAAAAATATGGACCGCCTTTGACGTGTGAACAGTGTAAACAGAGATGTGCATACGATCGCAAAGATGACAGTAGGAAAAAGGTGATTATTTTAGATATATATAATTTTTATATATTAATACTGTACTCAAATAATTAAAATTAGTATAGTTATAGTTAAATATAACATTGAGTTTGGCTTATAAATGTACTTTTGCTGGTTTAGAACCAGAAATGAAGTCATTAAGTATCACTGTTAAGTGAACACATCAAAGAATGTTAGCCATTGTGAATGAAAAGTGAATTTTAAGTATTTTATTTTTATAGACTGTTTTATTTCTAATATTTTTTTCCAGGTAAAATATTCATAATAATTTTTACCTAAAACTATATTTGAATATTAAAGGCAGGAAAATGATCTTTTTAATTTAAAAAAAATGTTTAAAATACATTTACTATATACAAACATTAGATTTTATTCTCATTGAAACAATGTTCTGTCAGCAGCAATCAGAATTATAGAGTATACAAATTTATACAAAATCTAATTAAATTTGTAATCTTGCTATCAAATTGATAGTTGTTATCCAAACTCTCATAATTAAAGAATTGAATATAAAAATATTCTAAAAAGAATCGATGGAGTNTCACTGCTTATAGTATTTGTACCTGATATAAAATATTACATTAGCAAGTTATGTTTTGTTGTTTTATAGTTTTCTGTCTTATTTTTAATTTTAAATGCTCTACATTTTCTAACAAAGTTAATTTTGTTTCAAAGTGTAATTGATAGATAACTTTTTGTGTAAATTCTTATATAATCTTTAAAAAAGACAGTTGGGAGAAGTATATAAGGTATGTTTAAAAGTTCCTCAATTTTTGTCATTTGTTTTTTATTATCTAGAGTACAAATTTTTAAAACATTTCTCAATAATTTTTCAGCAATATAAATTTTATACATAATTAGTATTAGTATTTTAAACAAATTAACCAGATATAATAAAATATATAAACAAATAATTTTAATGTAAAATATGAGAAAAATCTTTTTCTTCACTAATACAGGGCATCCAGAAAGTTACTGTGCCATGAGAAATTTGTAATGACATTAAAATTATACATAGGGTGGTTAGTTATACATATACCAGTCAATTGGTATTGAATGGACGACTTAGGTTTTGTATGCATGACCCTATGTATAACTTTAACGTCATTACAAATTTCCCACTGCTCAGTAACTTTTTAGACACTCTGTACATAGTTTGACTAATTTAATTATATTGAAAAACTTTAATATTTGATATTTAATGCTATAATATTTAGAGAATGTTAATGTAAGTATTACTCTCATCATTACTAATAATCATAAAGTAATAAATGAACAATAACTACAAACTCTATGGAAGTGTAATTTAAATAAAATATGTATATAATAATTTATATTAAAATATATAAAAATATAATTTATTATTAAAATTTGGACACGATGAACCTAAAGATATATTTAATGCTTGTGCAGTAAGAATGTTTATTTAGAAAATAAATCAATCAATATTCGAACTGATTAGCGAAGGAATTTTTTTTATTTAAGATTTATATGAAAAAATTAATTTTATGAGCATGAAAAATCATTTTAATCTTTTTCTCAAGTTGTAACATTTTGGGGAACTTATTAAATATACCTTATATCAATATTCATATATACTCTCTAGCTATTTCAGTCAACATTACTTGAGAAATCAAGTGATGAAAAAAAACCTAGTCCAGGCATTTTAAGGTGAGTTTACTTTTAAAATTTCTTATGCAAAAATTTAAATTCTGTGTAAGTTGTTCCAGATTAAATTTTTGTCTAATTTAAGTGAATTGCATAAACACTTTTTTAAAGATTATATAAATGCTTTCGAGTAATACGATATATAGATTGAAGAATATAAACTATAACAATAATAAATCATAATTTGTCTTACAAAGCTTATATGTTGTAAAATTTACAAATTTTTTTCTTGGGTATGTTTTTGTGTGTATAAAAAAAAATGCATTTTAACACAATGCTTTTGACATTGTATCTGAAATGCATGCAAAAGTATGTGTATTTGTAAATATGACTTATCTTTTCTTATCAATTATTTTACATGAAGAAGGGAAAATGCCAGAAGTCAGAAGAAATCAGTGGAATAAAACTTCAAATTTTTATCATTTTACTTATCAAAAACAAATTTTTTTTTTTCAATAAATATAAACAAATTATTTTGCATTGTTTCATTGAAATTTTATTTTAAGTATTTAAAAGTGAAAAGAAAAATTTGGGAAACATGATATAGTAATTTTTTTTTCTTTCGGTAATATTTATAAGTTTAAAAATTAATATTTACACAATGCTTTGATATTAAAGTATCATTATTATATGTATGTGTTTGTCATTGAAATAAATTTTATTTTTATTATTACACAATGTAAGTAACTTATTTAGAAGTGTAAAATAAATGTTTACAGAAATAACAAAAAGTAATACGATGGCAGCAGAATTGAAACTGTATTAAACTTTTTAATTTTAAGAAGGAAAAAAAATTATTAATTAAATAAATTTAATTAAACCTTTATAATTGTTGTTTGGCAAAAGATTGTCTTTATTTTATAATTTTTGTAACAATATAGAATTATTCAGTATCTTTCTCAGTTAATTAAAATTATATATAATTTTTAACTTAAATGTAAGACTGTTTGTGTTCTTTTGCCAAATAATAAAATTTTTTAACTACAGTAATAGTTTATAATTTTATTGTCATAATTAATTAATGAGGGGTTATGAAAAGTTTTAATGACTTATAAATAGACCCAGAGTTACTCAGTGTTTGGAAAACAAAAATATAAAAATGATATACAGTTTACATTTAACAAATTAAATTCTGTTTTGATTCAAAATTATAAAGGAGAGTTATTTGAAAATTATGAAAAACAAAGGTTTTCTGGTGAGTGGTTTTAAAAAATATTAATCAACAAACTCTCTCTGAAGTAAAGTTATCTTCAGAGTTTATAAATATAAAGATAGCTTTGCTTTACGTGGGATTTAGTTATTTTTAAACAACAAAATTTGATATTTGTAATTCATAATTTCAATGTACTCCTTCCTTTCAAAGTAGACTGTTCTTACTGAAACTTTAAATACTCAAAATTTGAATTAAAAAATGAATTGGTCAAAAATCAATGAATCGGTAATGTAAACTGTAATTAGAAATTTGTAAAAACAAATTTCTAATGTAATGAAATTTGGTTCTCTTTATTTTTTTCAGTATTTCAGAAAATTATTATTGCAAGGCTGTGCAGTGCAGATGTTTGATGAAATAATTATACATCAATAAAATTGATTTGAATAAATGATGTAATAAGAAAATAAAAAAATCTTTCTCACTGTATTTGTCTATACAATCACACTCCATTATATACAATCATTTTATAAGCACTTAAATCACTTATTAATAAATAAATTAATTTTACAAATGTTTATGTATTAAAATCAGTTCAAAATTAACTGTATAATAAACATCTTTCGAAATTTTAAGTATCAAAAACTATTGGTCTCGTAATGAATAAAAATCATTTAATTAAAAAAAATTTGTAAAGAAATTTATGAATATTTAATATAAAAAATAAGATTATATTAACACTTAGAAAGCGTAATTTAAAGACTGGTGAAATTCAGTCTGTTCTTATTTAAAACAAAAAAAAAATAAGAGAGATATATGAAATTATTGTTGAATATATACATGAATATACAACCTTTTAAGGATGTATATAACTGTTCATATTTTATGAACAAAAAATATTAAGTATTTAATATATAAAATACATTTTTCTAAGAAATGATGTATGCATTATGTTGTGTGAAACATCTGCATTCATAGCATTCATTTTATATATGAATTTAATGCTGAATCGAAAAAGCATAAAATAAAATAAAGCATAAATAAAATTGTTTTGCAGGACTGTAGAGGATCTTATCCAATTGTAAAGTGCACCTACTGTCGTACAGAATTTCAACAAGAAAAGTATGTATAATTTTCTATTAAAAGAAATTCTTATTTTTAATATTTTAATAATGTTTTATTATTTAACTTTATTGAATTATGTTGTCTGTATTATATCTGTGTGTATTGTGTTTAGTTATGACAAGATATCTACCAGTAGTTATTGTTAAGTTCTGTATTAAGTTATTGATTCCTCTGAATTTGTTAATAGTTTTCCCCTTTTATTTCTTCTTTCATTTTATTTCAAAATGCCACATAAATGTGAAATTTGAAAAGTTACTTTCAAATATGAATTTGAGATCAAAACAACACAATGGGTGGCCATCATAAGTGAAAACTTTTCAGTACAAAATGTTTTTTACCCTGTGTTTTGTTTCAAATTATTCTTTGTCCAAACTAAGTTCTTTAATTACTCTGTAATGTTTGATAAGATAATAAAAATAATTATGAAAATAAACTTTTATTGTTCTCAATAATTAGAATACCAAATTTCTGCATTTAACAGTTATGACCCGATAAGTTTTTTTTTATTTGATTTGTTGATAAAGTTGAAAAGTGGACAAGAGAAATTCAAAAATAAGCAGTTCAATTTTATATACATAAATATTAAATATCTTGCATACATAATAAAGCCAATGCATAAATTTTTTATCATACATCAAAATTTGTAATTTCTTTTGTTCTATATCAGTATTGGATGTAAACCTATTTCATTAGTTCTAGAGTTAGGAATAAACTCAAAGGAAGTGTAAACTTCAAGAAATTGAAAATTTTTTTTAAAGAAATCAAATGGAATTTGTACATATATAATTTAGAATTCAAAAGGTGTGTTTGGATCCAGAAGATTTTGTAAAAGTAGGGAAGGTTTTAAGAATTGCCTATGGTTTCAATATGAATTGCTATTTTTGATTCAAATTTTGGTTTTGTGTAAATTAGTAATATAAATTTTGTACTATGAAATGTTCATTAAATCTGAGAATTCAAACTGTTGTACAGACTCAAAATTTGTATTTTATAACAGAACTTACTCTAGATCAGTGGTTTCCAAAATGGGCAGTGATAAATCTAAGGGAGCAAAAAGAAGTAAAGTGGGTGGCAGGGGGTGCTGGAGGCAGGATATTGAATGATGACCATAGACAAAGGTTGAGGTCACTGACAACCTTTCCTTTCCTCTGTTAAATGGTTAGGAAGAAACATTTCATTTAATGATTTCCAGGTGTTGAGAACAATGTATGGTAAGGACAGAAAGTGCGAGGTTTATAGAAAAGTTTTCCTAAAAATATTTCTAAGCCTTTCTTGCGTAAGGGAAAAAAGGGTTAGAGGGCATTAGGTATAACTTTATGAAACAAAGAAGGTTGCTGGATCGAAAAAGTTTGGGAATTACTGCTCTAGATCAGCAATTTCCAACTTGGGGTATGCAATAGGTTGTTTAGGTGTACAGAAAAAGTTAGTTATTATGGCAGAAAAAATAATATGTTATGTATCACAAATTAATAGTATTAAAAAATTATTAGGTAAAAAATGTTCCTTGCAACTATCACAAACTTTATTATACATTTCAAAATGTAAAAATAGAAATAAAAACTTATGCTGCTGATTGTAAAATGCAACAAATCAATAAATGTTGTGCAGTCGGTCAATGGTAGTGGGATACTTTGAGGATATTTGTCTGATACCATTGTGTGTTATTAGTGATTATTCTACGGACTTTTGATGATGGGGTGTTTTCCGTTGTTATAATTTTTATCTCTCAACAATATCCTCACGTGTTGTTTGAAAAAAGTATTCTTTGTTTATAAAAAGTATTTTTTATTGTTAGCAAGGAAAAGGACATAGCTAGTTTCTCCAGATTTTCTCTACAAGCTGTAATTTTTTCATTATTTATTCAGTATTTTTATTAATTTTTTATTGACAAGACTATGTCTTGTTTATAAAATCGTACTGCCTGCTGTGTTACCAGCTTAGAGGTATGAAGGAGTACATGTCAAAAGTTGCGATTTGGCACAAAGTATTTGCTGCCCAAATCATGCGGCATGAAAAAAACCAGACTTGTAGGTACTCGGGACCAAGAACCGAGTCAAAATAAAATTCAAAATGGCGACACACACTACAAACAGGCAGTGTGAGATTTGTGCATATGTTGCTCATTGGGAAGTTGGAAATGCCACAGGGGTACACTAATGAAAAATGCTTGGAAACAGCTGCTCTAGATGATTACAATTTATTATTGCAACTGTAGGGCTGCCTAACATTTTTTGATATTAAGATATATTTTAGTATATAAAACCATACTTTTTTAATTTTATATTGCATATATCACAAGTTATTTATTTGAAAATATTTGAAAAAGTATTGTTAGTTTTATGTAAATGATACTGCTGGAAATATTGTTGGAAGATAATGTGTTGTAGGAAAATGTTATAATTGACAAAACAGCCAGATCTTGCAAAAGAGCTTCTACAGTGAAAAATATTTTTGAAAGGTCTTGAAATTGTTTTTAAAATGATTCAAAAGCACAGTACATATTAAATGCTTTTGTTTAACTTGCTCTATATTGTCCTTAAATCTTGCAATATAAATTTCATCCACTTGTAATTAAGGTTGAAACTTTGAGGATATTTGTCTGATGACAGTGCATTTTATGATGCTTTATGGGGTGGCATCACCTCAACCATCCTCCCAACTCTGAAACTTGATAAAGTTAACTAAATGTAGAATTTAATCATGTTTGCATGTAAATGCATTATAGTGATGCATATGATGGAGGTGAGCAATTCCCATCATTCTCCACCCCAATCTTAAAAAACATGGCCAATATTTTTTATCATATTTTAAATCTGTAAAACACTTCAAAATGTGTTCAAAAATTTCCTAAATTAGAAATTATATAATAAAATATTAAATTGCACTGTTGTGCTCTGTATGCATTTCTGTATATTTGTGAACTTTGTATTGTCTAATATGATGCAGAAATATTTTTTCAGTTAATGAATTTGAGTAGTAGTATTGCTTTATGTACAAACAGCAGTGTATGTTTGTTCCTGCTTTTATATCTTAAATTAGAATAATCTCTAGTAGTGAATTTACATTTCCTCACTACTTTTTGTATCTTTTTGCATAAAATTTGGAATATTACTCTTAATTTTCTAAATATGCATTCAATAGAGGATATAATTTGTTTATTTACTTGAATTTTATTAGTTGTTTATACAGAAAAAATTTTATTTAAATTTATATTTTATATAAAATGTATTTTAATAATAAGTAGAAAAGTGAGTTATGAATGAAGTTTTAATTCTCTTTAATGTTCCATGATTTCTTTTTATCAAGCATTCATTTACACACATACATATTCATTATTATCGAAATTAACAAATATTTTATAACAGTAATATTTAATTATTATTAATACAGTGGCTCTATATAGTTAAAAATTTGTTCTTATCTGGTAAAGTGGATTTTAAAAAATAATATAAAAATATATTATAGAAATTTTATTTAAATACTTTTAACTGTATTAAAAATAGTTTGTCCATGGTAAAATTTCTTACTTAAACATTTTTTATATATATATAGCAAAGGAAATACAACAACAATTTGTAAAAAATGTGAACAGAATGTGAAATTATATGGAAAGGTTTGTATTTAAATTAGAATTTTTGATTTCTTAAAATTAATTAATTAAATCTTAAAATAAATAAATTTGTTTACACTATTTTCAGCCTACTGCTTGTGAATATTGCAATATTATAGCAGCATTTATTGGTTCAAAATGTCAAAGATGTACAAATTCTGAGAAAAAATATGGACCGCCTTTGACGTGTGAACAGTGTAAACAGAGATGTGCATACGATCGCAAAGATGACAGTAGGAAAAAGGTGATTATTTTAGATATATATAATTTTTATATATTAATACTGTACTCAAATAATTAAAATTAGTATAGTTATAGTTAAATATAACATTGAGTTTGGCTTATAAATGTACTTTTGCTGGTTTAGAACCAGAAATGAAGTCATTAAGTATCACTGTTAAGTGAACACATCAAAGAATGTTAGCCATTGTGAATGAAAAGTGAATTTTAAGTATTTTATTTTTATAGACTGTTTTATTTCTAATATTTTTTTCCAGGTAAAATATTCATAATAATTTTTACCTAAAACTATATTTGAATATTAAAGGCAGGAAAATGATCTTTTTAATTTAAAAAAAATGTTTAAAATACATTTACTATATACAAACATTAGATTTTATTCTCATTGAAACAATGTTCTGTCAGCAGCAATCAGAATTATAGAGTATACAAATTTATACAAAATCTAATTAAATTTGTAATCTTGCTATCAAATTGATAGTTGTTATCCAAACTCTCATAATTAAAGAATTGAAATTAAAGCTTTAATAATAATAATAATAATAAAGGCTCAATTAAATATTTTTAAAACATTGTTTGTAATAAAGATATGGAGGAAAATAAGAGATGATTTCCTGCTTATTTTATAACAATGTCATAAGATATTTCCATTATTGAAACCATTAAAATGGTTTAAGTAAAGCCTAACCCATTGCTGTATTAACAAGAACAAGTTATCATTCCTAATCCTTAAGCAATTATTAATCATTTATGATTGGTACTGTAATTTATATGTAATGAATCATCTATTTCAATCACATCTTTCTGGTTTTTGTAAGTTTAAGATAACTTTTTTTTTTTGTTAGACACAATATATAAGAAATTGTTAATATATTAATAAAACTTTTATTTTAGGTTGATGGTAAATTACTATGTTGGTTGTGCACTCTATCTTATAAAAGAGCATTAGCAAAAGCAAAACAGAATAATCCAATTCGTCATACTTCAGTATCTTTACAAAAAAGTTCTAGTCATCATCGCTCAGGATCGCAAAATCACAAACATTCAATTAGTCACAGTCACAAGTGAGTAACTTTTTTGTTTTATATCATCAAATGAAATAAATATTAATATGTAAATTTTTTAATGTAACAGAAATCCAGAACACAGAAAAAAACAAAAACTTGATAGTTCAAAATCAGCTAATGCAAATGGTACTCTACCATCAAAGTAAGTTATGTACTATATATTTACATATTTATTTAGTAATTATTATTAAATGTTCAGAAATTTTTTCATAATTCAAATATTTTCAAATTTAACAGTGATAGTGCTCTTATGGATCCAAATAGTAGTGACCATGTTGTAGCTGTAACTCAGTTGAGAGAACAGATTGCCTTATTACAGAAACAATTAGGACAGAAAGATCAGCAGTTACTTGCTAAAGACATTCAGGTATAAAATTTTAAAATTAAAAACAAAATGCTCTACTTTAATCAATTTTAATTTTCATGTTCTGTTATATATAACAGAGAAAAAGTATGGCAATTAGTCAAAAAAAATTTTTTTTTACATTTTTGGACTCTGGACCTTAGTGTTGAGAAATGAAAAAATTTTGGGGGTTTTCCTGTATGTATGGATGTTAATGTGTGCGATATGATGAAAAGCACTGGAGTTCTTCAAAGAGGGTGTTCACCCTCTTTGAAGAACTCCAGTGCTTTTCATCATATTTCATCATGCTTTTCATCATTCTTCAAAGAGGGTGTTCACCCTCTTTGAAGAACTCCAGTGCTTTTCATCAAAAAATTTTTCTGAAATTTTGTGTATTAAGGGTATTGATTCTATTAAATTTTAGTGGTAAGGGATGGAGATAGAGGAGAGTTGTGTCAAATCTCAAGTAGGGTTGGACTAATGATGATTTTACTCATTATTAGCATCTACAATTTTAAAAAAACTCATCCTTACCATCAAAATTAAACTTTTTGCATTTTATAATAATTAAAAATATATTTTATTAAAACTTTTTATAACAGATGGTGCCACATGTAGTTTTAAATGTTACTGAGAAAGTTAAGCAACTTATTGCTGGATTTTGTGTATATGATTTTAAAAACAATTGCAGATAACTAAAGATCAAGCAGAAGTCATTTCAATATGTAATAAGAGATCAATGCCTTTTGGATTCTATCATAGATTTTGCTGTTTTAAAATTTATAAGCGATGGAGCTTTTGTTATTGCATGCAAAAGTTTTGTATAGATATTCCATGTACAAATCTTACAAATAGAAATTTCTAACGAGTCTAGTATTTTCCATGTAAACTATTATCTCTTATGTAAATCCTTGTCCAAAGAAAATTATTATAGGGTCTTAGAAAGAATTCAGATAACACTTTTTTAAGTCTTAATTTTTTGTTAGTGTTATTAAATCATATTTTTAGTTTTTGTTTACTTGTTCTTATAACTGTTCACATTTGCTACTTGTTGAATGTTGAAATCATGTATTAATATGCAAGTAACAAAACTGTTTTTGCTTTTATTGCTCTGCTTAATTATAATTTTTAATTCAATTGAGAATTAATAAACTCTTAGATTTTTAAAAACAAATCTAGAGCATGTAAACTGCCAAACTTATTTCATTTGCAGAAAAGACATTTCTATTTTTATAATCTTATGTTTTTCAGTTTGATCTATATCATTTTCATTCATTTCTTTGTCAGCTTCTAAATCTTCAAATCAAAATATCTTTGCAGTGAGAATTTTATTTGATTATTTCAATAATTATCAGAGGGATAAACTTAAAAATTAAATGATGCAAACTAATATACTTTATTACATCATAGAATTTACTTAAATGAGTTTAATTTGTATTAAGAGTAATTAAAATATTGACAAATTTGTGCAAATAGTTGTTGCTACCTTATTGTGGTTTTAAAATTATAATTTAAATTTAAAATTATACAATTCAATAGAATACATTTGCCTAAAACAGGGGTGGCCAACCTTTTCAGAAGGCGGGCCAAATTTCAGAAATAATATTTCCTGCCGGGCCACGCACCTATTTTTTTTTTGTTAATTAAAGTAAACAAGCAAGCGTGCTACAGCTTCAACCACATCGTCACTTCCCAGTAGGTGAGATCGTGGTCAAACACTTGCCTGGTTTAATGTAAAAAAACACAAAAAATAGGTATACAGTATTTATTTTTTTGAAGAAAATAAAACATAACCGAGAATCAAACATATTTATTAGACAATTTAAAAATATTTAAAAGTGAGATATCTGACTTTGTTTTACAGAACTAAGTGCATCAAAATTGATCTCCACTGATGATGTCGCTACACGCAAACAGTTTTCCAAATGAACATCAGTAATTCGATCTCACTTGTGATTTGATGTACTTCATGCGACTAAAAAGCTGTTCACACGCATAAGTGTTTCCACATAGCGAAACCATCGACAGAGCATATTTGTAAAACTCAGGATATTTATCCTTGTCCAAATACGTTTCACAGAACTCTTCCAAACCAACTTGACGAAATTTCTCCAACGTTTCAGGGTTTACTTACTTATAGAATCGATATGGTAGACAGGCTACTTGGTTAAAGTAGTTTGAACTGTAATTATAAAATATGCTAAATATGTATTTTAACGTCGATTGCAAAATCTCTCCAGATGCATTGGCGATAATAAAACGAAACTACAGAATAACACGGAACTTTGTCAAGCTGGACTGAAAGTAGTTATGAGTATGAGCCCGATAGCATTGTGAGCTTCCCGAAAACGCCGAAGACCACAAAACATATATAGCTGAGGTCTCATATTAAATTTTATCAACACCTAGCGTCGGACAAAAAACTAAGTAACCTTGAGTGTCAAATAGCGGGATATTTGAAATAGCTAAAAATCTATGAATTTTTCCAAAATAAGAGATATTTCAAATTTCTGTTAGCTATAATTTAAAAATACATAATAGGAATAACTCATGACGTAATGTTCTTTTGGTGATATGTACAATAAAGTTAACATTTACGTTCATTTGCCCTAGCTCCACGGGCCGCAACATGACTCCAGGCGGGCCGCATGCGGCCCGCGGGCCTCGTGTTGGCCACCCCTGGCCTAAAATATTGTAATGATGAAATATTATTGTTTAAAGTAAGTTAATATTTTAGCTTCCTCCCTATAATTAGAATTTATTTGAAAATTGTTCTTTCAGATGGCAGAGCTAAAAGCACAACATTCTGGAATTGAAAAAGAGCTAAGATTAAAAATACAGACAATTCAGAAACAGCATAGTGAACAGCTTGAGGAACTACAGGTGAGTATTAAATTATTAATTTAAAATATGGCATTGTTTCAAAAATTAAGACAAAATTCTCTCATTTTCAGATCAAAACACGTACTCTTCAGAAACAAGTAGCAACTCTATCAAAGGCTAATAAAAAAGTTAATGCAGACAGCCCTTCAACTACATAACATTAAAATATATATAAGCCTGTAATTAAGAAACTAGTTTAAGATCTCCTTATCTATTATTTACTTGAATGCTTGTGACTATGTATTTTTGTAAGTGTTGTGACAACAAGAATATAGTTTAATATTATGTTTGTTTTTATGAAGTCTAGATATTTTTAAGTATTTCTAGTAATATTCTTGTATATTACTAAACAGTTATTATAATAATTATCTTTGACAAAATGTTTTTAATCTAGTTGCTAATTTGCCCGTAGATAGCTTTTTTAATAGTCTGTCATTTTATATCCCGGTGAAGGTATTTAAAACTATTGTTTTACTGCACTAAAGCATTTATCATGTTACATCATTTGAAGAAACTTTGCACATTTTAAAGGAAGTCTTGCATTTTATCGAATTACAAACATTTTACATTTGGATTCATATTAATCATAATCATCTGTAGATAATTCAGATAAATGTTTTATAAAAAATAAAAAAAATTGTGTGACAATCTCTGAATTGTTTTAATTTTAGTAAAAAGAAAACAAGTAAAGAATCATAAACAATTTGTCATTAAGAAATTTTGTTTATTTCACAAAAAAAAAGTCTAATTATCAGATAACTCTATTTATAACTGTTGATTTTAATCCTCTACTCGGATAACTGTTTTTCCTCTCGCATGGCCTGCCAACACTTTTCTATAGGCTTCGGGAGTGTCTTCGTACGGAAAAACTTGTTCCACAACAGGACTAATCTGGAAAAAATTATTTAAGATATTTAAAGGTTGTAAACAACAATTATAGTGTTATTTATGCTCAAAAGAATTAATTTATACAATAACAACTAACTAAAATTGAAGCAGAATATATAATTTTTCTGTGCTTTGAATCATTTTATGAATTTTTAAATCTTTAATAAAAGTTTAAATGCTTTATTGTTGTTTGTCTTTCTATTAAAATATTCTGCATTAATTTTAGAACAATTTGGGAATATTTCATAATTACTGCCATCTTTCTGTAGTGTTTCAGAGAATATAGATGTTCCTTATTGAGTATTACAGCCAAGGCAGTAAAAGCATCAGCCTGCCATTCTGGATGGCATGTCCTAGATATTTGGTCATTTGCTCCAAGCAGTTGAATGGTGCCAAAATTTATAAACTAAAATTATATACATGTAAATGAATATATATTCAAGCATTAAAAGTAAGAGTACACGGCATCAAAATAACAATAGTTTGTAGCATGCTAACTGTAATAAGTATAATTTTAAACTTAGGTAATAATGATATTAAATTTTAGCAAAAAAAGAATGCTCTGTTTTGGTTTATTGAACATTTTGTACAAAAAGAAAAACTCAAATATCCAAAAAATTGTCAAGTTTAACTAGTAGCAAGTACTAGTTCTGTTACTGATAAAGTATCTAATTTTTCATTCTTTAACAAATAGAGAAACAAATACATGCCAAACATTTGAATGAAATGTTTGAGATGTGGGACTATATAGAAAATTAAGAGTTGATAAAATAATTTTGGTCATTTCTTTTTTATTGATTTTAATAATCTTGAGTCATCACCTTCAATTAGTGACAAAACCACATCCCCTGATCTGGTCCATATTCCACAGTAAGACAAGAATTTGCGTAATTGCCAAAAACATTTCAAATGAAGAAACCTATAATAAGGCATTTGGCATTCTGAATTTATATTTGTCTTGGTTGTGTACCAACTAAATTGCAACAAACATTACTAATACAAGAGAATTTTCATGACGAAGCATTTACATAGGTTAGAGGATTGCAAAAATCACAAACTGGAGCAGTTGTTGATGCTCAAGGTATTCTTACTGAGAGAGTAATTTTAGGTGTGATTTACTGCCATTTTTATTATTTATGCTGAAATAGGTGCATCTTATGTGCCATAGAAAATTTAGCTTAGAGAAAAAAATGATTACTATATTTATCTTATATTTTTGGCTGTGAATATTTCATTGTATTCTGATTTTAAAAAGTTAGTATGCACATTTATTTATCAGGGAAAGAAATATAGTTTGAATATTTTATTTGTTAATTAATGTAAATACATGCAAAAAGCTGTTTAGGTTTAGCTGTAGTTAATAATGGTTTAATTGGGCTGCAATTTGAAAAAAATTCCAGACAAATTCCCATTATCAATCTTTCTAATAATACCCATTATCTGTAAATTTTTGTCGGATGGAGATTATTTTTAAATAAAATTTAAGACAGTCTGCCCAAAAGGGACCACCATTTATTATTTCTGTGTTCCAGACAATACACATTCTTGGCAACATGAATTCTGGAACACAGAAATAATAAATGGTGGTCCCTTTTGGGCAGACTGTCTTCAGTTTTATTTAAAAATACCCATTATATCAAATAATAAAATAGCATTGTTGTTTAACACCTCTTTAAGTTTGATACATGAACAAAGAATTTATATAATGTTAACATGGTGAAACTTACCAAATAAAATTCGATAACAAAAATCAGATGGTAGTGTAGCAACTCGGATATGAGAAAACACCTTGATTCTTTTAGATATCAATCACTTGTCATTCCACAAAAAGTTGGGAGTCATACAAGACTAGTATTTTTAATCTTCAAAATAATGATTTTTGGTGACTAGTTAATAAATTTCGAATTAAGAAACCATGTGAAAATGCTATATTTCCTCAGATTGGTTGAATTATTTGCAAGAGTATTTCACTGGACCAAATATAGTAATTTATATTGATTTAAGTTTTGGTAATGTTCCTCTTGGATGATCCTATTATCACTGAGTGAAGTGGAAACTATGCTATGCCTTACATAATTTTAATTTTCTGATTAGTCTCGATAACATAGGTATTTTATCATTTCATTCCTTTTGTACAGAAATACTACTAGATATATTGGATATGTTTAATTCCTTTTGGTCTAGTTGCTCCTTAATCTGAAATGGAGTTAAATGAAAGACAAGACCAGATATGGAAAGATTAGGGGCAGGAGGCTCTGAGTAACTATTTTCAAACTGGAAATCAATTGTTTCAATTCAAAAATTTTCCCCTGAAAAGTGTTAGATAGATGATCTATTGCTAATGGAAAAGTATGACATACAGGGGCAAGACACTACTAATTTGAGGCAGAGAGAGTATATTTTAAATTAAAATATGCAGAGCTTCAATTTTTAATCATGACAATGTCACAATAAACAATTGTTCATTAAACATACAATAATTTTATTCAATGTTGGGCTATGTAGAAGTTACTTATAACCTACTGAAGGCTGTGAGAATTCATTATTCTATAGGAGATTGCAACTTCACACCAAAAAACCCTACACTGCAATTTTATTAATGTTTTTTAAGCCTTGTTTTTGGATAAAAGTTGCATCTTATATATAGTAAAATATGGTACTGTACATTCAATTTAGCATTCTAGAGAATCACTGAAAGTCTTGGACATCAAAAACAAGGTTTTATTACCAGTATTAATGTAAATAAATAATGTTAAGAATGATTTCCAACCCTCATACAACAATGAAGTAACAAATGCAATAACACAAAAAGGAGTAAATTAAGTACAGCAATTTTTTGCAGCCTTTTAAATTTAGGGAATTTGATATAAAGTTTACCTTTAATTTTTTACCGCAGCCTTCCAGTAGCAGTAAAAAACAGATCAAATTAAATTATTGTTGGATTGAAAGGACCTGTCAAAGATGGATCAATAAAATTATTCTGAATATTAGACAAGAAATTGAGAAACACTCCCTTCAATACAATTACATTTGAATGTTTCCCCATACACTTGTTCTAAATTCTCAATAATCAGATTGGTTGCAACTTTTATGTTAGAAGTATGAACATAAAAGATCTTATAATAATTGCAAATTATGAAGATTTTTATAGTTTCTTCTATTTTGTCCTTTTAAAACAGCTCAGTAACAAGTCTGAGTTAACCTTTTTACATATCAAGGTGGATGAGTAATCCATCTTGATATGTAAAAATGTTTAATTGTGCATGGAATTTTTTTAATGTTTAAATCACCAAACTGAATTTAAATATTACACATAAAAGTTTTTTGTTTAAAAAAATTGAAGTTTGATTCTTAGTCAAGCCAGTGATTCAAGTCTATAGATGATATCATAAAAGAAGCTCCCACTTTTTCAAAACAGTGGGCATTAATGCCAGAATTAAATGGTAAAAGAAGAAAAAAATGTGCAAATGCATTGCAGAAAAGTTTCAACTTTGTCACTTACTTCTTCTAAATTAGAAACTTTTCTGCAATGCAACTGCTTGATTAGAAATTTTTAGCACATACATCTAAATTGGCATTAATGCTGAAAATGATATTCTGCTTAAAAATCATTAAAAAAAAATATCTATCCAAAGTATGTCAATGGAAGACCAGGAATAGAGCTGCCAGTTTAGGAACAAAATATATAAGAATATCAAAGTAACTGGATTTTGTGCAGAAATCAAAAAGTTTTGAATCAGTTTCTATGATGTATTTGTAAATATTTGTTATTCACCAATTGAAATATTAAAAACACAGCAATTACTGTTTTGGCAAGGTAAAACTAGTGAAAACTTATTTGCAATCAGCTGTAGGGAAAAACAGATAATCTTGGCAGCTGCAGAACTTGATAAAAAGGCTGGTTCCACATCACCAGAAAATGGAAAAGTGAGATGTTACCATTGTTATGTTTTGATGTTTTATTTTGTATAAGTTAGTAAAAAATGCTTACTCAAATCTAATATTATAGATACAATGCCTAACATAAGGTCTCAATATTTTTAGAAACATTTGGAATGAGGATAAGGAAAATATTTGATGTTTTTTGCAAGTAAAACTTGCAAACTAACATGGATGATCTGTTTTGTATCTACATGTATATGATTTAACACAATGGTGCTACTATTAACTTAGCCTAATTCTGCTTGATATTCTAGTATTGTGGAACTAGAATTAAACAGAAAAAGAAGGGAAACAAAATTAGTTTCCACATTACTAGAAAACTGCTGTCATAAGGCTGATCCACAGTATTGCAGTAGCACTTTTTAAATGTTTCATTCCTACATGAGAAGCAGTATGGCAGTTCACACACCAAAATTTCAGTAATTTGTGGTTTTCTAACTGCTTGTGATGATGTCATGACCTAAATCTCAATAGTGTGAACCATGAGCTTTAGTCCATAGAAGGGAGTTAAGTGTGAGTTTTTCTATTTCTATCATATTTTATTAAAATAATAATAATAATAAGGAAGATTACCTTTCCATCATCTACCATAGTTTTAATGGTACTTAAAGTTTCGCCACTCGGACAAAAATATGCCCATCTAACGGCTTGACCATTCTGTCCACCCTAGAAAATTTAATTCATTTAAATTTTGTAAGGGCAAATTAAAAATAAAACTTTGATATTATCTTACTTGAATTGTATCTAAAGCAGCTTCTCCTAAAGAAAATAATGAACCAGCAATTACTCCATATTTATCCGTATAATTTAAGAGAGGAGAGACCAGTGTCACATATTTACAATTTTTCCACTTTTTGAGCAAGTTTAATGCAAAATTTTTACTTTCACCACCAACACAGTCCAAAATAAAGTCAAATCTAAAATAATAAATACACAATTTACAAATTTTTGATTAAGTTAAGAACATTTTAAGAATTTGGAAGAATACATGCAAGTTATATAAATTATGCTATACTTTAGCATGATTTATATAAAGTCAAACCTCTGAAGTTCAACTGTATTTTGAAACTTTTTAAACAAGTCTAATTCTTTTTACCCATCCATTTGACTTAAATGAGTTTTAATGTCTTGTGATCTGTAATCTAAAACACAATCCGCTCCCAGATTTTCAAGCATTTCGACAGCGTCCGTACTGCAAGTTACTGTAACTTCTGCATTCCATGCCTTTAATAACTGAAATTAATAAAATAATGAATCATTTTTATTTATTATGTCTTATTTGTTTTTTATATAATCTAAGCTTATGTTAATCTAGTGCAACTCTATTATTGATGGTTTAGTTTGATGGGATCTGCCAAGGGAGACAGACACCTTCCAAGAGAACTTGCTATGGGAAAGTGGTCTTTATTTAGGCATTAGATCATGAAGAAAACCCAGAAAATTTCAACTGACTATTATGGCACCAACCTGCAACCATCTAACTACCAATGGTCAATGGTTTTATCCACTTGGCTACTAGTGGACTTTAATGGAGGGTATCTAGAATCTTATCCTTTAATTTAATTTAAAGAAGCTAAAAAGAATACTATATCAAAACAATTCAAAAATAAGAAATGCTTCAAATAATGCTTTTAAAGATTAAAATGCTCTTTATGAGATTTGAACACACATTCCAGATGTTAAGATTTGAATGCAAAGTGAAAATTTTAACACAATTGGTCCTAGTTTATTTGATTGGCAGTGTCAGCTGAATGGCATCAACCTACCACTGTGAGGAACCAGAATTGAATCAGTTGGGTCAAAAAAATCTCTTTTCTAACCGTTATAATTACATTGACAAACTATCCACACCTACGTTAGTTGTCATGATTCATGGATTTATTCGGCATTGGAGGTAGCCCATAGGATTTTTTGCTTGTAATAACACTCCAGTTACTATATTAAAAATAGAAAACTTTTTCAAGCATTAGATAAAATTACAGAAGTTGGTTTAACAGTGGTAGCATTTGTGTGTCATCAGGGTCAAATAACCAGAATTTATATTGAGCTGTAATATTCAAAAATTGTAGACTTATAAATTCCTACTGGTGTCTGTCCATCTCTCCTTTCTTAATCTAAAGAACAGAGTGAGTGAGATAAGTTAGATGAAAGTCAAGACCAGGAGGCTTTGATTAACTATATATAAACTTCTGGTCCAAACCAGAAGTTTGTATTAATTCAATTCAAAAATTTTCTCATGAACAGAGTTAGAAGATTGTATTGTTAACATGAAAAGTATGATGTACAGGGAAAGACATTAAGTTAACTGTCTCTAAGTAGTATGAAATATTACTAAGATTACAATTAAGTATTGGTGGAAACAAAATATAACATTGAAATATGTAAAACTAATATACACCACTTTTATAGTACAATATCTCAACTTAAAAAAAAAAAAAAAAAAAAAGACCACCATTGTGCTCAGCCTTTCATTTGTAGTTGTATAAATTATTTTACTAATTTATATAATTCGGTCCTCTAATATTTAAAAATTTGAGATAATTTTTAGTAATTTAGCATATTTTGATTTTATTCTAATAAATTTTATTTAAAACTTACCTGTATTGAAAAACTTCCAACACCTCCAGAACCTCCTAACACTAGAACTCTGAAAGAGTACATTTCAGATTTAGCACAAATGATAAATATATCATGTGATATATTTATATATCGTAATGTGTATAGTATATAATATGTAAATTCAAACTATTAGAAAACTTAGAACTTCTGAGAAGTAAATGATAAAAATTTACAAACACCGTATTCAAAATTTACAGTGAAATAATATAGAATTTAATTTGTTCTTTTACATTGAGATAGCCAATGTGATAAAAGTATCGACCTGCTACTCCGACGGCCCAGAGTTCAAGTGTAGACAAATTTCTTATGGTTTTTTTCATCCACATATATAAATCCTCCATTGTTCATTGACCAAATGCCATATTGTGGGCCAAGCCAAAGTCATAATAGGTATGAAAAATAATCCCTGTAGTGTTGACAGTGTAAAAAGGTATAATAAAAATAAAAAATTTATATTAATACCTTAATACTGTAACTGCATAAAATTATATTAAATTCTTAATTTTCTTAAAGATGTTATTGACAAAATCCACAAATCTTGGTACCACCATATAAGAGAGAAGAAAAGTCAGTGCTATAATTAGGTTTACCAATAAATTTATTACTTACTGGAACATCTTCAATATAAGTTTAGCATAAAAATACATATTTAAATGGAATAAAACAAATCTTTACAAATTTAATATTATCATATATTCAAACCATAAAAGTATTTAATGCTTTTATGATTTACAATTCAAATCCACCAGAATATTAAATATGTAGGATTTGTTCTATTCCATTTAAATATATCAATATGTTCCATACTGATGAAGATGTAAAATTAAGTTGAAAATATTTCAGTTAGTAATAAACTTATTGATAATTTTAATTATAGTTATTATTTTTTTCTCTAAATAAATAAATACAGTTGGTGATTGGTTAACNGTGTAATTCCTCAAGATCTTTTAATGTCTACGTTCATAGCAATTCCCAAAAAAGATAATGTAAAAAAGTGTGGTGATTATAGAACTATAAGCCTGATGAGTCACATTTTAAAAATTTTCTTAAGAATAATTCATACAAGAATATATAAAAAATGTGAAGAAGATTTAAGCAACACACAGTTTGGGTTTAGAAAATCTTGTGGAACAAGAGAAGCTCTTTTTGCTTATAGAGTTCTGGTAGAAAGAAGTTTAGAGGTTAACAAGGATATATACGCCTGTTTTATAGACTACGAAAAACATTTGATAGAATTTTGCATGAAAAATTAATAGATATACTTAGGAAGAAAGGAATTCATAGAAATGTATTGCAAATTATAACAAATCTTTTCTGGGAACAGAAGGCCAACATTTTAATTGATTCTGAATTATCTGAATAAATAGAATTAAAAAGCGGAGTAAGGCAAGGATATATTTTACCACCTTTACTTTTTAATATTTATTCAGATGAAATTTTTAAAGTAGCTTTAGAAGTTATGGAACACATTGGGATTGTAATAAATGGGATGAATGTAAATAATATACGTTACGCTGACGATACAGTGGTTTTAGCAGAAAATATGAATGATTTGACAATACTAATGGAAAAGATTAATTCAATAAGTAAATTATATGAAATTCAGATGAATTATAAGAAAACAAAGCTACTTATTTCATGCAAGAAAAATATAGATAATGTAACGTTGCAGATACAAAACAGAACAATTGATACAGTTTCATCAATTAAGTATTTGGGGACTATCATACAGGAAGATGGCAGATGCATTAAAGAAATTAAATCTAGAATAGAAAATGCGAGGGGTACTTTTATCAGAATGCAGACATTTTTTAAATGCAATGTTTTTAATTTACATCTTAAAATTAGAATGTTAAGGTGCTATGTGATGTCAGTTTTGTTTTATGGAGTAGAAACGTGGACCTTAGATAATAATACGTTAAACAAACTTGAAGCATTCGAAATGTGGTTATATAGAAGAATTTTAAAAATATCTTGGACAGATAGAATAACAAATGAGGAAGTTTTGAAAAGAATGGGGAAAGAAAAAGAAGTTTTAAATACAGTTAAATGAAGAAAGATGGGGTATTTTGGCCACATCATCCGAGGAAGTAAATATGAAATTTTGAGAAATATTTTAGAGGGAAAAATCTGTGGAAAGAAAAGCCCAGGAAGGAGAAGGAAAAGTTGGTTAGGTAATATATGTGAATGGAATAATAAGAAAGCAGAACTAACACGTGAAGCACAATTGAGATTATTATAATACTAGTCCTACATTCAGAAATGAATATGGAACCAGAAGAAACAGATCGCATNAAGTTGAAAATATTTCAGTTAGTAATAAACTTATTGATAATTTTAATTATAGTTATTATTTTTTTCTCTAAATAAATAAATACAGTTGGTGATTGGTTAACGAACAAATCAGATAATGAACACTTTCGCGGAAGATTTTTATGATCGGACAACGAACACTTCACTAAACAAACACAAGAAGAAGCGACATAAAATAACGAATATCGATTGGTCTTCCTTTCTCTTCAGGCAACAATTCAAAACTTTTTGGAGCGCAGGAGACGTCGACATCAAAGTTCTACCCAGTATATACTGATTGGATCGTATTCCCCCAAACTTTGAAACTCTCTCTTGTAATTCCAGCCTTTTATATTTCTGACAGAAACAATTCTTTTACGTTTTCTTCTGAAAATGCAGATTTATGCCAATATCTGCTATTAAAGATTTTTTGGAGGAAGTCAGAACAACGGTCTTAAAATGGCATCCAAACCAGGTTGAGGCCAATAGGCCTAGGGATCTCTACAATTACAATGCTATTAATTACTGCTGAAAAATCATGAAGACAGAAAAGCAATTGACATTGGACAGATTCTTTAACCCCCACAAACGGAAAAAACATGACTAATAAAATGCAAGACTGTGTATATATGTATTTTTATTATTACATATGAATAAACATAGTAAAAAAGTATATATTTTTTATTTTTTGGAGTCTCCAGAATGGGTTAATCAAATTCCCATAGAAACCTATGGTAAATCGATAATCGGTTAACGAACAATTCGGATAGCGAACAAAGTCTTGGAACGGATTATGTTCGTTAACCGATTACCCACTGTATATATATATTATATACATTAAATCTTTCTGCATTGTGGGTACTAAGGTTTAGTAAGCCCATTATGTGTTCAGCCACCCACACTGAGACAGCCAGATGGTGTCCCAACCAGAGCCCCAATCGAGTAATATGCATTGGCCAGCTGAGATATATGAAACAATTTGTAAGCTTTTAATTAGCAAAACTTCAATACCTAGAATTCCAAGCAGATGATTTTGATAGTCCCCCAAACCAACATAAGGCACTCCAAGATGTTAATGCAGCATAAGGCAATGATGCAGCCTGGACGTGATCGATCGATGTTGGTTTGAGCGATATCTAAAATTATCGGGTAAATTAAATATGTATTAGATAAATTCAATATTAATAATTTTCAAATATTTGCAAACATACATTTGAAGAATCAATAAGAATGTGCTTTGCATGACTTCCTATTTTTTCTGGTCCTGTAGCACCCCACACCTGTAATAATATTAATGCATGGNCAGACGAAAAATTCAAATAACTACATAACATTTTTTAATAAATATATATGAAAACTATAGTAACAAATAAGAAAAAGTCAATAAAACTTATCGCTACTGATAATTTTACAGTAATAAACGAATAACTTTAAAAAATCGAAATACTGTTAAAATCTCGATTCCTAGGTTTAATCACGTCCAGACGAAAAATATAAATATCTACATAGAACTTTTTTGGTAAATTTAAGTGTATGCTTATGCTATACTCACAAATTAAAAAAGGTCAAATGGTGTTTTCCCTACTAACAATTTTTGTCAGTAATAGAAGAATAACTGAAAAATCGAAACAACGTTTCAGCATTGTTTACTACGTTTGATCGCGACCAGACGAAAATTTAATTAACTATATATAATTCTTTAATACATTTATATCAAGGCTATACTATCAAATAAAAAACAGCAATAAGGATTATCCGTACTGAAAATGTTTTCAGTAATGAAAAGATAACTCGAGAAAGTTGAAATACCGTTTAAATCTCGTTTCCTACGTTTGGTCACGTCCAGACGACAAATTTAAATATCTACATATAATTTTTGTTAAATTTAAGTAGAGGTTATACTCACAAATACAAAAACGTAAAAAATTTTTTTCCCTACTAATAATTTTTTTGCAGTACACGAATAACTTCAAAAAATCGAAATATCATTTAAATCTCGTTCTTAACGTTTGATCGCGTCCATACGAAAAANTATCGGGTAAATTAAATATGTATTAGATAAATTCAATATTAATAATTTTCAAATATTTGCAAACATACATTTGAAGAATCAATAAGAATGTGCTTTGCATGACTTCCTATTTTTTCTGGTCCTGTAGCACCCCACACCTGTAATAATATTAATGCATGGTTAATATTTTGAATTTATCAGTAGGAAAATTTTGATATATTAATTCTAAATAAAATTGAAGACTGTCTGTCCAAAAGGGACCACCATTTATTTATTTAAAAATAATCTCCATCAGACGAAAATTTACAGATAAAAATATTAATTCTAATTAACAGCAGTGTTGATTCTTCATGCTTCATGAGATATCTTTTTGTAGCCAACCAAACTTTTTGTTATTCTACATTTTAAAATGTTAAATACAAGATCTTCCAAAATAAATGCTACCATTTTGAATTACTGTAATTATGTTAATTATTATCTGAGAAGTACACAACATATACCAATCGATAGAGTAATTGTCAGAGTTTCATCTCCCATCTGCATTCAAACATCTTGTTGTCCTTTAGGAAGTGCCATAAACAAAAATGAAAACTCTGCAACAGAGAATGCATTTTGTGTTCTGCAGTTCACAAAGTCAGAACCATTTGTCATTGTGAAACATAAGTAATCTGCAGAAGCTGTAGAATTGAGACTGCTGCGAGAGGAGTGACAACAGATATGCCATAGTAAGCACAGGAAGAATTTGCATATTGGTTTGATGTGTGCCATGTAATACAAGATGCACATTGAGAAAGTGTAATGGGCAAATGTGAAACTTTGTAATGTAAACTGACCGTTTTCTAATGTTTTAATGTTCTCAAATAATAATTAACATAATTATAATAATTTAAAATGATAGAATTCTTTTAGAAGGTCCTGTATTTTTAGAAATTTGAAATAAAAACTCTAAAAGGTTTCTTAAACTAAATGAAATATGCATCCAATTTGCATTTGTGAAAAGTTTACATTTTATAGGCTACAATATTTTAATTTTAAATGACATACTTGATCTCCACGCTTTAATTTCTTAACAGTCTGTCCAACATCTATAACAACACCAGAAAAATCTCGACCCAATGTAATAGGAAATTCTGGTACGTCAAATGAACAGTTATTTATTTTACGTAAAATGGCAATCGCTTGAGAGCCATATCCATCTATAAAAAGAAAAATTTTTCAAATTAATACACTATTATAAAATTTAGAAATAATCTAAATTAAACTTTTACATGTATAATACCTGTGTATTTATCTTCAATAGAAAAACACTTAACAATACACAAAATGGCTTTACTTAATCAATTTTTTTGTCGTAAAACACTAATTATATAAACATTTTATGGCATATTGTAAAAAATAAAAATAATAAAGACCTATACAAATAAAAATACAGTGGTACCTCAGGTTACGAATGCCCCAGCATACGAAATTTTCAGGATACGACATGAAATTCGAACATATTTTTGCTCCACAATACGAACAAAAACTCACCATACGACGTTACATTAATTCGCATTTTTTATTTGTTTTTCTTACTACAGTTATTTTTTTAAATGTATTACTTGGCTTTAATTTNTTTTTGGTAAACTTAAGTGAAGGCTATACTCACAAATAAAAAAAAGTAAAAAATATTTTTTCTACTGATAACTTTTTTAGTAATTGAAGAATAATCTCAAAAAATCGGAACACCGTTTAAACCAGGTTTCGACGTTTGATCGCGTCCAGACAAATCTAAAACTTCATTAAATATTTTGGTAAGTTATTATAAAGTCGATACTGACAAAGAAAAAATGTCAAAAAAACTTTTTCATACTGACAATTTTTTCAGTAATTAAAGAATAACTTCAATCATTCGAAACAATGTTTAACGTATTTTACGACGTTTCATCGCATCCAGACGAAAAATTTAAATAACCACATAGAATTTTTTAATACATTTATATGAAAACCATACAAACACAAACAAACGTCAATAAACCTCATCGCTACTGATAATTTTTTCAGTAATAAACAAATAACTTTAAAAAAACTAAATACCGTTTAAATCTTGTTCTTTAAGGTTGATCGCGTCCAGACGAAAAATTTAAATATCTACATTGAACTTTTTTATAAACTTAAAGGAGGGCTATACTCACAAATTAAAAACGGTCAAAAAGTCTTTTTCCTGCTGATAATTTTCTCAGTAATAAATGAATAACTTCAGAAAACCGAAACAATGTTTAAATTTTGTTTACGAAGTTTATCGCGTTCACAGAAAAATTTAAATATTTACACCGAATTTTTTGTTAAATTCAAGTGAATGCTATACTCACAAATAAAAACCGTCGAAAAGTATTTCCTACTGATAAATTTTACAGTAATGAACAAATAACTTGATAAAGTTTAAATACCGTTTAAATTTCTTTTCCTACGTTTCATCATGTCCAGACGAAAAATTTAAAAATGTACATAGAACTTTTTTATAAATATAAGTGAAAGCTATACTCACAAAAAAACGTCAAAAAGCCTTGTCCCTACTGATAATTTTTTATACAACAGACGAATAAATTTAAATAATCGAAAAAACATTTAAATCTTGTTTTTCACGTTTAATCCCGTCCAGACGAAAAATTTACATATCTACATAAAATTTTTTATTAAATTCAAGTGAAAGCTATGCTCACAAAAAACGTCAAAACGTCTTTCTCCTACTGATAACTTTTCAGTAATGAACGAATAACTTCAAAAAGTTGAAATGCCATTTAAATCTCGTTTCCTAAATTTAATCGCATCCCAGCNACAGAAAACATGATCAACATCAGTGGAGTAGACCTTTTCTTATAAGCTACTTTTCCACCTGTAGCTATGTAAATCAAGTAAAAGTTCCATGACTGGATATTTTCCATAAAATTTCCGTATGGTAAAAATAAAAAATAAAAAAAAAGGAAGACTACAAGAATATTTTTATTTGTATAAATCATTATTATTTGCATTTTTCACAATATGTCTTAAAAATATATTTTATCCTGGATTTTTTAGAATTTTATCTTTTACAATACATAAGCATTATTGATAATTAATGAAAATTTAATTTGTAGTCGATTACTATCTTGGTGCTATAGATTTAAACACATTTTCAGATTTTATCATTGCCAGTCAGATGGCTGAGGCAGTTAAGGTGTCAGTCTGGAAAAACCATGACAAAATCTGGGCAAGCAATTTCTCAGGAATTTTTCATGGATAGTCGATTTAGATATATGGAGTCCATCCATTAGCATCCAGTCATTCCATTGCGGGCCTAGCCAAACCTATAATAAATATGGAATAAAAGTCCCTTCCAGTGACTACAAGGCAAACAAAGTTTAAAAAAAGTTTTATCATTATTTGGATGATGTCATTAACAAATGCTAATATTTCTGTCTGCTTATGATTTGAGTAAATTACATTTTAAAGTAATTTACTCAAATCATAATATAATTTTATCATAATTAATATCTATATAATTGATATTTTAAACTTAAGGTACCAGCTGACTGTTCTGGGGATCCAGAAATAAATCCAAATGGATCAATAAATCCCAGGAATTTTTGGAAGTGGTCCATCCCAGATATGTCGGGCCCTCATCCATCATCATCTGACAGTCCTATTATAAGCCTAACAAAACTCACAATGGGCTTGATAAAAAGGCCACTTTTTAATATATTTTGCCAGAAAGAGTTAAAAAACTCAATATTAATAATAGATTTGCTAAGTGTCATGTTTTCTTAGAACAAAGCAAAATTCAAATGCGTAATAAGTAATTAGTTTTGAATATAAAAACATTCAATTAACAGTAATTTTCCTGAGTTAGGGGAGATATTGGTTGACAGTGTTGGACATCAGCAAATGATTTAAAATTAGAATTGAATTTGTAACATTGGCAAGAAAATATGGTCTACCCATAGCTGGACATGTTCCTACAACTTTATTTTGTAACTTCTAATTTGAAAATATTTGATCACAACTTGGGCCATAGTGTGTCATGATGATGCCATATTAAACTAATACTTATTACTGCCTAGATTTGATCTTGGGTCCACAGAAAAGGGTAGGTTTACATATATGTGAGTCTATATTTGGAATATATTCCTAGGTCAAAATTTGATGCTAGTCTGATGCTGTTGGCATTAGAATAAGAACACATTTTCATCAGTCACTGGCAAAATGAGAGAGTTAACAATCTAATAAAGAAATGCACACCATTATGCAAAGTCTAGTTATGCTGTGATCCACAGCGTAACTAAATTTAGCAAGAATTCTGCATTACTAAACACATCTCATATCTACTACATCACAATGTTTGAAATATATACTGTATTTATATATGTAAAAATGAAAAAAATAAGCATTTCATCACTACTATTGAACATTCAAAATATTATAATTTTATAATAAGTAATGTATACGTGACAAATCTCTATATTATATACTGTATTAGAAAAGAGTTTAAATTATATTACTTACTAAGCATTTGAACGTCAATAGGATTGACACTTGCCGCATGAATCTGAACCAAGACATCATTCGGTCTAGATATATATGGTAATTCGGAAATGTTTAACTTTAATTCTTCTGGCCCACCATATCTACTTATCTGCCACGAAGACGTTTGGAAAGATTCAGAACAATAACGTCTACACTGATAAAGCAAATATGCAAGTTGCCTTCTCAAAATTAGCATTTAAATTCTGAAACAAAAATATTATAGCTTAGTATTTGAAATATATGAGTAAAACTGCAGTTCTGAATGAAGGGTTTGAATCCTCCTACGACAGGGATGGCAAACATTTTCAGATTCACATGCCAGTGAGCATAATTATCTTTTAAATGTTTGCACATGTCAAAGTTTTAGATTTCGAATAACGATATTTAAAGAAATTAAAACATATATGCTATAATTAGAATAAATGTAAAGAAGCCGATCGAAAAAAACACAATACACCAAAATCATACAATGCTTTACGTGCCAGATGATTTCTTCTGCCACTTTGGGCACACATGCCATAGGTTCACCACCCAGCCTTGAGCACAATCAATGGCTCAAATCAAGTTTATTCACATATGGCAACGTGGCACACGGGCAACTCGCCGACAGGAAGTGCCTCCCAGGCAGTCTTTTACAGGAAAACTGGTTCCTATGTAGGTGTTACTAACGCAAAGAAAATCCAGAAAAACCATATGGCCAGCCTATTCAGTGGTTTTATCCATTTGTCTATTGGTGGACCAGATAAGGTCCCAAACACCTCATTCAGAGCTGCAATAGTACTAAAATATATACTGTATACACCAATAATGTAGTTGTTAAAAATAATGGAGCGAATATATGACTCCATTACTTTTAACAACTATATTATAAGTTTTTTGTAAATATTTTGTGACAATAATTTATAATTAATAATACACATCAATGTATATTTTAAACAATAAATATGAAAATAACGATTGAAATCCTAAACAAATGCTATAAATATCAAATATATTTATATAATTTTTATATACTGTATGTAATGTAACGAACAAAAACTCACCATACGACGTTACATTAATTCGCATTTTTTATTTGTTTTTCTTACTACAGTTATTTTTTTAAATGTATTACTTGGCTTTAATTTGAATATGTTTTTCGCGTTGGAACGAATTATTTGGTTTTACATGTAATCGTATGGGAAAAGATGATCCACCTTACGACATTTTCATGATACGATCTCAGTTTCGGAACGGATTAATTTCGTATCCTGAGGTACCACTGTA